GAGGAACGGAGTCCTGATGAGGCTCGTTCACGTGGGAGCGCGTGCTGGTCCAGCGAGGGCGATCTGCGTGCCGGCGGTGCCGTTACCTTTCATCGAGACGGTCCTACACTATTGTCACGCCGACATATTTTCGGCTCACCTGGGAAAGCCCAAGATCGCTGACAAGGTGAGACGGCACGCCTGTTGGCACGGGTGGAAGAGATACGTGGTCGAGTTTGTGCGTGAGTGTTCTATCTGCGGTGGTGACAAGGGTCATAGGCCTTGGAGAGCGGGGCTGATGCAACGGATGCCAGTTCAGGATTTATCGCGCTGCTCGTAGTGGATGCTATCGGCCCCCTGGTTGTGACACCCCGACGGAACAAGTATATCCTGGTGTTCGTGGATTACTTTACGCGGTGGGTCGAGGCGTTCGCTGTCGTGTCCCTGGACACGATTTCCTTCGTGAACATCATGATAGAGGGTGTTATCTGCCGTCTTGGCGTTCCGGAACGCCTACTGAGTGATCGAGGATCCAACTTCACGTCGAATCTGGCCAGGTCGTTGTACGAAACACTGGGAATTGAGAAGTTGTATGGGGCAGCGTACCACCCGCAGACACAAGGACTCGTGGAACGCTTCAATGGAACGCTGATGGGGATGCTACGGATGTTCGTGAACGAGACGCAGACTGAATGGGACGTGTATCTGCTGAGGGTCTTGTTCGCGTACCGGACGGCGTATCATGAAGGCCTAGGCGATACTCCGTTATTTAGCTTGTACGGGCGAGATCCTGTACTGCCTATCGATTTGGCGTTCTTGAATACCGGGAAGGAATGGAAGAGCAACGAGGTCGCAGTGTACAGGCGGAAATTATATCGCTCGTTGAGGAACTCGCGAACGCTAGTGGAGCGACAACCGCTCAAGGCACAACATAGACACGAGAAACGGTTAGAGAAACAAGTAAAGGTGACGTATGCGGACGGAGACGCCGTCTGGGTGTACCAGTATTTCAAAGCTCGAGTGGGGGAACGCAGGACGTAGAAGTTAGCGTTCTCCTGGCATGGTCCATACCGTGTTGTCGGCCAGGTCGGGGAAACGCCTACAAGATCGCGATCCCGGCTCACCCGAACAAGATCGTTATGGTAAACGTGAACCGCTTGAAGCGCTTTAGGGGTCGCTGGAGTCGATCGTACGCGGACGAGGTCCCGGACGATATTGGGGAGGACGACTCCGAGGAAGGAACGGGTCCTCTGGAGATGAATGACCTACCACCTACTAGTTTCGTGGAACGCCTATCGATTGGTTGTGAGGAAACTGCCTTCTCTGGAGTGTCTTCGCCTGTCGTAGACATTGTGGCCAAGAGAATCGAGAAGCGCGAACTACAGTACCTAGTACTAACGGCTACGTACGAGACGTTCTGGCTGGCTCGAGCGGCGTTAGCGCCTGAGTTTGGAACGCTAATCCGAGCATTTGAGGACGCAGACCGTAAGAAGAGAGGTCTGCCGGAGTTACGTCGGAACGCCCGGTTGGCGGATGCCAACGCGGACGTGGATGACGCGAAAGTGATGTTCTAGTTGGCGCAGGGGCCGGCTGGAGCGGGCGCAGCTTGGTAGCTACGCCGAGGGGTGTGCTTGTGGACTTGCGAGTTCCAGGGCATGGGTTTGTGTGTTATATTGTGTATATTGGGATGACTTAGTGTCGTATCCCTGCGGAGCACTTTCGGGGTTGATGATTTTGGAACGAGGTGGGACTTGCCTCATTCGAACGGTGACGAGCAAAGCAGTAAGGGAGGATTGAGAGCTATGGAAACGAAACGCGCGTCGGCGTGCCAGAAGACAATATGACTGAAAGGGAGCTCGAAGAGTAATTACGTAGCCAAGTTGTAAAATGGAGAGGAACGCTGAAATTAAAGGGGAGTTAGGAGTTTGCTGGGGCACAAGGCTCGACGAGTAGGGCGGAACGGCGTGGGATCACAGGACGGTGACATTCTGAGTGTCGCTTTGATTGCCTCCGTCTTCTTCCTCTTCGTCGACTTCGTCATCATTGTCCTCTCTTTCTTCGTCAGCGCCCTCGTTATCACCTTGGGCTGGCGTGCCTGCTCCTGCGCTGGAAGATGCGGTTTGATCATCGTCGTTCCCTGTGTCCTCAAAGTCGGACCAGTCTTCGCGGCCGAGTTCCTTCTGGGTTGGAGCATTGACGGAAGGGAGTTCGTACGTTCGATCAGCCATTTGGGCCATAACGTCGAGTTGGCGTTGCTTGACGCCGTTGTTGCTGATGAGAGTTTTCCAAGGTTCGGCGTTCTGGTTGGTAATCCATGATGTCTTGAGTTTGGTTCCGGACGTAAGATCCTGCCGAATACGTGCTAATGCCGTCATGGAGAGACGATTCTTCGCGATGGCCTTGGGATTCAGGGCTTCAGTGAACTCGAGGAAGGAGAGCACTTGCGGGTACCCATAGGGGGTCCACCTTCGCCGGATTGAGGGCGTTCTCGAGCGTGGCCTCGTATCTGGCCTGATCTTTGTCGTGGAGGACAGCGAGATCCTCAGCGATGGGTCCTTGGTGCTGTCGACCTCCGGGTGGAGACTTGCTGGGCTGGCTTCAGAGCCAGAACATTTCAGGACGCTTCTCCACCTTCTCGAGGAACGCGTAGAAGCCCCAGGCTCGATGCAAAGGCTCGTAAAGGATAGACGAGCGAGAGTGGCTCGCATTTTCAGCTTGCGGCGATTGGACTGAGCTGAGCTTGATTCGAGAGGGACGTGGAACGCCCACTCCCAGAAAGCACGCCGGTGAGCTCGATGAAGATCCTGATTTTCAGCTGGATCGTACCAGAGGGGTCAACCCGATCACGGGTACGCCAGGCGCCAGGGAATCTTGCCGGCTTATTCGATCTTGTGGGGGACGATGGCAATGGCGGTTCGCACGACTCGAGGAGCGTTAGGATTCACCTCTAGTAGCTTGGCGAAGTCATACGAGGGAAGCGTCGAGGCTGTCAACTTCTTGGTAGAGCGCGGCTTCTTGGCGGATGACTTGGTGGCAGTGTCGTCAGCGCAAGCCTTCCGTTTAGAGGTCTTCTTGGAGGACGTCGCAGGTTTCTTGCTCGAAGCCTTCGTAGACAGCGCGGCCGCAGGTGCAGCACTTGGAACGCCGGGCGCGGCTGGCAAAATCACTACTGGACCCTGCAGACTGACGTTCGACTTGCCTAGGATAATGTCTTCGACGAGTTGGTCGAGGTGTTGGAGACCCGCGGACATGCCGTTAACCTCGAGGTGCGTGCGTAGCTCGTCCCATTGTTCCTGCTTGAGGGTATTAGCGTCGTCATAGGAAGGCCCCTGTTCTTCGCGATCGATAGCAGCGTTAAAAAAAAAGCGTGGAACCGCTTCAACTCGGTGGCTGTGAATCGAGTCATCATGGCGGAAGCGCTAGCGGCGTAGGTCGATGAAAGATTGGGAATTGAAGGAATCTTTTCCGGGGAAGATTAGTGGCTACCGTTGGGTACGCCAGAGAGACGCCAGCTGGGAAGGGACGTTGAAGTGGAACGCGATGAAGGGAATTGACTCTGGGCGAGTAGGCGCCAGGTGGGACATCTGCCCTGGCTGTGGGCGACGGTTGGAGATTCACTACGGAAACTGGCTGACGATGGAGAGGTGGCTAACATGGGCTGGAGCCGCGGAGCTAAGGGAGGTAGCAGGAACGACAAACCACTGGGCATTCGTTAGCAGCGCCGTCGCTGGCATCATAGTGTGGGTGGTGACCACTCCGCTGAGGAACGTCTCGTCGGCGTTCCTAGACAGCGTCGTTGACAGCGGGAGGGCAGTCTACTTCTTCGCGTACACCTGTGGCGATAGATACCTCGAAGCAGCGCGGAACGCTAATGCTTTAGCACTACCTCCTCTCGAGTATGCGTGTGCTCTGATCTCGTTGGCGTTCCTGGTCTTTATTACAGTGCTGCAAGATTATGAATCGCGATTTGGGATAACAGGACGGCTGTGCTTGAGATGGTGTGAGGCGTTCCATCACTCCTGCTGTTTGTTCGTGCCGGACGCGGTCCAGCTACTCTGGGTGTCTACCTGCAAGTATGCCCGAGCGACTGGGGAAGCTACGGTGGCAGTGATTGAAAGGACTGGCGATATCTTGACGGGTGTTTACTTGGCGGTCACGCTGCTATTGACTATGCTGGTGTATTTGCCACGATTGGTGTTTGAAAGAGTGGAAGGCGTACTGGGAGGGCCGATCGGCGTAGTTTTGGCGGTGTTCGTGGTGGATGTCCACTTCGAGTTTACAAGAGAAAGCTGCTACTGGAGTGCTGCTGTGCTAGTGGTTGGCTGCTATAGCCATGGGTTGCATTATTTCTGGGGGTGTCGTCCCTGTAGGACGACAGGACTGGGGTCGAACTTGAAGCAAGGATGGGATGGACTTGCCGGGCCCATAGGGCGTCGTGAGGAAAGGGAACGCGCCAGTTTGGAGCGTCTGCGCGGGGTACCAAGGAAAAGAACGCCGACGGAGACTCAAGCTGCGAGCGTAACGTCGGATGAAACGCCGACGGGTGGCGTTCCAGAAGTGGTTGCTGATA